AAAAAAAAATATAAAAAAAAAAATAAAATCCCAAAGAACGGTTTAGAGAAAAGGTTTATCACATATTTTAAAGCAAGAATCAGTAGATTACCTTCCTCAAAGCATAGTAATCAGAACTACCACATTTATGAAGCAAAACAGAAATCCAGATCTTTCCCACTTAATATCTTGCCAGTATCTGTCCTTATTCTTATGGTGCCCTTAGAAACATTAACCATTATTGCTATCATAAAAAGTGAAATTTATTAATGGCCAATATGCACACCCTCTTTCATTTACAATTTTTTAATTTATTTCACCTACTATTTCATTTTTCCTGTTTACAGTACACATCTAGTTTATGCTTATCAGCAGATGTCACGCTATTTGGTCAAGCTCTTGAGGAAAACTAGCACGATACCTTTGAACTCCATTTCTCCAAACCAAGTGATGTACACTTGTCAAACGCATGAAAAGGGAGAGAAACACAAGGAATATAAAGTTGTCACTGCAGGTCTAAGAGCCTAGAGCTGGCTGGTACCCACCCCTTCCCCATGCTGTCTGTGGGTGAGCAAGAGGCAGCCATTATCAGCTGCATGCAGGAATGTAAAGAGCCTACTCCCTACTGGAATTAGAGACCTGGAAAAGTACTGTCTCAGTGTAGTGGGGAGGTTACTTCATGTAAACTTGCATTTGCAATTCAAATAAAATTTAGAAGTTATTATGTTGCCATGGTAACATGGGACAGAATTAATGGGCCAAGCATCCTGGTCTTGAACCAGGTTAAGATGTGCAAAATGGTATAACAGGGCTTGCTGAAATAGTTCCTGAGCTGTCAGCAAAAGGAATAGAGGTAACATCATTGGCATGATTTTTATCCCACTGGTTTTGTATCCTTATAATTGAGGAAAAGCCTCAAGATACTTCTTGTTATTAAGAAACATATCAAAAATAGGCTTTAGGGTTCCTAAGGAAGGAGAAAGGAAATCTTTTCCACAGTGGCCCGGATCTGATCCCCACTATAGCTGACAAAAGTACTTTCATTTGATTTCAGTTTTATTTACTCCACTTGAGAAAGAAACAAATACATGTTTCCTCTGCTCTCATTTCTCTTATATATACTTTGTCCTTGACATTCTGTGTAGGAATATTTCAGTTAATTTTTAGAGACCAATAAACCTTTTTATGCATCCTGTTTATCTGAACCACAGTAAACTTAGAGTGTTAAGCTAGTCATGTATTACAGGGTTTTGTGTTTTAAAATCCTTAGTAAAACTGGGTCTCGGCTACTTTGAGAAAGAAGGACCAACTTTTCCCTTTAAGTGCAATGTTCAGTGACTTCTTTCTTCTGATGCAGAATAATTAATACTTCAGTTGAACAGTAGAAAATAATTCACACAGTTCAGAATGTGCTCAATTGTGCAGCCTATAAAGCATTCCTGATGTTTATTTCTCACTGAGAAGATAAATAAAGCAACAGTTGGACAAAGATTTAAATGCTTCATTTTGAGAAATAATTTAAAAAAGCTATAAGATGGACACACCCCCAGTATTAGTAAATACCTCAAATCTCTGCACTAGAAAATAATGGGAAAAATAGAAATATTTACTTGAAGGTAGTAGAATAACAACCCAAATCTCACACTGCATTCATGAGAATGTAAACTTGAGAGATAATAGTGATTAGCTGCTTGACAGAATTGTAAGAATTAGGATAATGAAAAGAGTATGTTTGTAATTTAGTGAAGCGATTGGGAAAAAAAAACCCAACAAAATCTCTTGAAATAAACCCAGTCAGTTTAGACATGAAGACATATCTATGGAATAAAGAAGTAGTATCTAATAGCCATGCACAAAGGCTAGTGATCAACAACAGCCAATGGAGTTGAAAGGATGTGTCTAAAGAAAGAATGGTCGGGTATCCACCAAAAGGATCCAACCAAAAGGTTATTCCTGCCTCTGTGCATAAAAACAGATTCAGCGTATTCTCCTGCTGTCCTGCCCACCTCAAAACTTTCCCCCAGAAAAGAACGCTTCTTGGGAAACTCACAGATATTGTTTTCTCCAGATTTTCTGTCCTCTGGTGATAAAGAAAAGACCTGTGTCACTCAGAGCATCTCCTTGTACTTTACGCTTCTTCTTTGATAGTTCTTAGCACCCATACATAAACCCCAATTCAGACATTGAGGATTTTCCTCCTTCAGGAAAGGTCCAGAATTTACAGAAAGCCCTCAGTAACAGGAAAGAGGTCCGATGTGGGTGCAGCAAATGCTGGGGTTTTTATCACTTCCTTTGAGGTGATAGTAGAAAGAGATATTCCATAATTCAATCTACATCCTCTGTTTCTTCACTACATGCTGTTTTTTCTTATGTACACCTTCTATCAACACTTGTTTTAGCATTCCTTAACTGGGAACACAATAGCTTCCACATTTTCTGGAAGACAACTATGTGGCCTAAGAACTAAGTGCTTAGGCTGTACACATGATTTTCAAGGAACATGGTAGGCACCACGTTGCCTGGTCTGTTAGGAAATAGAAAGGGATTCACACTGTTGAGGACAAGCCTTCATTTTGGGCCCCTGTAAGAGCCCATCAGGTCTTCCCAGGTTCTCTGGTCTCTGATCTCTGCCTTTTGTATTCAGGGTGATGTTCAGAATTAAGAATGGAATTTCTTGAATGTAACCTCTGCCACCACAGGCACAACAGCAAGATAAAGCTTGTGTAAATGTGACTTAGGAATCAACCCCTTGGGAAAGAGCAACTTCACTGTAACTTTCTCCATGATGGACTTGCGCTAATGATACGTTTTCTTTGGTATTCTGTCCACTCTATGACCAGCCACAGGGGCCTTGAAAAGACATAGAGAAAAAATGGCCCCCACCCATGTCACTGAGTCAAGATTCACACAGGCTGCATGGGCACATGGAAGAAATTTTAGTTGGGAGGAACCTCTCAAGGTCATGTAGGTAGGCCACTCATGTAAGTAGATCAGCTCAGCCATGACTTTGTCTAACAAAATCTTGAAAACTTCTAAGGACAGAGATTTGATATCCTCTTTGGGTGACCTGTTCCAGTGCTGCACTATCATCCTATTGAAGAGAGTTTTCCTGAAATCCAGCTTGAACCTCCCCAGGTACAACTTGCAACTTCTGTTGTCTGTCACTACTGAGACAAGTCGGTTCCATGCTTGTTTGTGTCAATATGTATGAAAGTGTGTGTGTCACTTCTGTAAAGACTGCAGATTAAACAATGAGGGACTAGGTTATTGAAAAGTAAAATCTGTTAGTAAAATTGCTATCTAAAAAAGTAATATTAAACCAGAAATGTAAAGCAAATAAATCAAATAAATTTACCCTTACGGGAAGATGAGAAGGTGCAAGGACTTCTTGTGTCTCAGAAATACCTTCATGTTCTTGAATGCTGCCATTGCCACTGATGTCCCCTGAAGCCTGTGCAAAACCCAATCATGGTACCAAGTTCATAAAAGTCAGGAAAAAAAAGTATGATCTACAAGGAACTGGCTACTTCAATGCATAAAAAAACTTTTTTTTTTTTTTCCAGTTGGTGAAGCCTCAGTGTCATTATGCTGTTAACTTATTTCAGTACTTACAGCATTTCATGAAAACGACCCTTCAGAAAAATAAAAGTCATAGTTCATTTTCTCAAAAGTGTTATAGACAAAAGAAAATGATGCTTTTTGAAAAATCAGTTTTAGAGGCTGTGTAGTCAAAAAAAGAGATTCTCGCACACAGATCGTTTTAAGTATGATAGTATGTTCCCAGGAAGAAATACTACGTTTAGCCTTAAGAAAAATGTCTAATGGCAAATGTCTTTGAAGTCTCTGAGGCACTGAGGATAGATACAGAAGTGTTTGTAAGAGTACTCACATAAGGATCATCATCTTCACAATGATCTTCAGTAGCTCTTGGGTCAGATTTGATTGTCAGATGTTGAATTGAGCCCTACAAGAAACAACAAAAACAATTAAAGGAATTAATGTTTTAAGTAGCATGTGTAAAGGGGGGTGGAGGGGTGGGAATTAAACAAACCAACCAAAAAAAACAGACTTTGTTCTGATTTGCTTGGAAAATGATCTGAGGCATAAAATTTTTTGATAATAAACCCATTTAAAAAATGTAAATATGTTCTTAGATTTTCCTTCTGCAAAATGTAGAAAAAATTGAAGCTGCCAGAATACAACAACTATCATGTCCCAATGACAACACAATTGCTACACTGTATTTTTAGTGCCCCAAAGGAAGGATCTAGTCCTAGATTATGTCTTAGAGTCTGTAAAGCACTGTCTGCTTTTTCTAGTTAAGAAGTGCATTGCAGCTCCAAAAAAATGGCACGTGAAAACCCCTAAAAATGGAGACAAAGGATGGGAAGGATATACCAGTAAGTGATGAAGTGGGTCAGGGAGAAACCAGCTTAAAACTTTTCAAAGCAGAAAGAAAGGAGATGGCTTTTCTGATAACAAACTTTTTTCAGAGTTGTTATATTTCTCAGTCTGACAAGCTGAAGGGGCAGCAACAATTTCTTTTTAAACATTTAAGTTTTGTTTCTTAGATTACAAAGACTCAAAGTGTTTTAAGAAACACATCAGAGATATTTCCTTGTTATGAGGTCTCACAGAGTTAGGCATGATGCACACATAGGACAAAAAGATGGGTATTCAAATCAAGAGCCATCTTACCTAACACACATGAACTGCCTCTTCCTGTTTTGCTGACTGTATATTTTGTTTCTCTGCTTTTGTATTTTCTGTAGAGAAGAGCCTGAAGAAGCTGACAGATTTAGTCTTTATCTCTAGACAGACACAGAATACTTCTCAGTCTAGCGAATTCTTTTCAAGGAGCTATAACGTTTACACCATGCAACTATATCTTGGTTGTGTTCTGTCTGCTAAGTGCTACCACAGACACACAGCAGATGTGCTCACTCAGTGGTATAGAAAGCCTGGGTCTCGGTAAGGAAAACTGCAACAACTGTTGAGATGAGAAAAGTAGTATGCTTTGCTGTTACTTAATGCCACAAAAAACGCTAACTCCAGAGGAGGAGTAGCTACCATTTGTGTACACTGCTATGTCTGACTTTCTGCTTGCTCTTTCCTCTCTGCAGCGGTCCTCTCTCCCTGTCCTAGAGGCATTGGGGAATTATAAGCAAGGAAGTATTTTTGAAGCAATATTTCTGGTGGCTTCTAGAATATTTCAGAAAGGAACAAAATCTGACATTCTATCGTTAACAATCCTCTAATTTCTGTACTTTCAAAGACCATGAAACTCATGCAGTTTGTGCCTCCTGAGTTTGCAGGCAATCTGAGATAACAGCTCAGTGAACTGAACCATCCTGTTTCTCTCAAAACTTAATAATGGGCAATTCAGATATTGAATGATGTGATTGAATGATTGAATGACTAACTGAACAGTTCACTGAAAAATTATACATGAAAGGAGGCACAACAAGACACTTGAGCAGTCTCTTGGAAGTGATGCTTTGTTTTCACAGTACAAGTGAATTACATTTGGAGAACACATTTTTCTCCTCTTGCTCTAATCTGTGGCCCTGGATGGTGAAGGAAACAAAATAGAGAGTCCTAATGTTTCCCAGGTGTTGCTGCTAGCCAATTACTGCAACCAGGAAAGTCATGGCCAAGTCTGCCATGGTAGGGATGGTAGGTATGAGGTATTGTAGTCCCCCTCTGGGTCTTGTGCCTGCTGCTGCCTTCCCTGTTAAAGCTGGTTTGCAGAATCTGGCATCATCACAGATTCAGCTATATTTGATTGTTGTCTGGTTTCTATTTTCCTTTACAAGCATCAGGGGTAGAATTTCCTTTTTTTTCCATAAAATCTGATGATAGTTATGTCCTGTTGCATCTGGCAACCAGAGCCTTAGACACACAAATTCCAATTAGCCAGAGCAAACCAGCAACGGACATCCATTCAGAGTGAGTAATTTGCACAATCTGCTGTGAATTGTTTCTATTTTAGGCAATCAATGTAAACCATTCTGGTCATACAAACAGAGCTTGAGGAGGAATCAACGATTCAGTTTTTCTACCCAAAAGCAATTGTGACATATGATGCATGAAGAAGTAAAGGCACAAGACCTAGACTACAGGTCACAATTAATAGTACTGAAGCAATCAGAATATTGGCTGAAATTTATGTACTCAATATAGCACACAGAACAGCCTGTTTCAGTGGAAATGTCTTAGAGTGTAATCCACCATGCATTCCAGTCACCATATTTACAGATTTATATTGGTGATAATCTCAGCAACTGATAATCACATGTGTTTTCCAGGTGGGGTACCAAAGTGGTCTCATTTTCCTGAATGTTTCTCATTCCTACTTAATAATCAGGCATCCCCAATACTCCATTCATCCCATCTGTCTAAGAAAGGTAGTGTGAGCAGGCAGTTTTCCTACATATCCCTTTCCACCACTTACTTGCTGCTAATCAATATATTCCTGTAATTCTAGGTGCTTAGACTAGTCAGACAAAAGATAAAAGTACTTTATCCTTGTTGCTTACCAGATGGAGCTCCCAACCCGCCAGTACACCTGAACTTTGGAAAGAACATTTTCTTTCTCTAAAGCAAAGGATCCACTCAGTTTTGTGCTGCTGCATTACTAATTTAGGGGAAGAGATATTAATCTCACAAAATACTGTTCAAGTTTTGAAGTACAAGGGAGATACAAAAACAAGATAGAAAAAATGTGTGACATTTCCCTTCCAGTTTGACAATGAATCAATCTCACGCACATTGACAGCTTTCACATTTAAGAAGGCTTGGGAGCCTTGTAGTAGTGTTTTTGGTCCGTTCTGTTTTTCTAAAGCACCTGGTAAGCTTCAGGTAATATATAAATTGTAGAAATGCAGCTTTATCTTCCAACTATCTTTATCTTTGATGAGATCATTTTCTTCCTGATGTTGAATGTGAAGTAGACATACCTAGCTAATAAGAGTTTAAAATACTGACTTTCTACTAGGGTATTATTCTCAGAAGTTAAACAAATGGATACTCTGAAATCTGCCCTTCATAAAAAGTTGTGTGATATATTTACTTTGAGATTCCTAGTATGCAAACTGAGCATTGAGCTTGATATCTGGACCATTAATAAATTCTGAGGTTCTAGGAACATTTGTATTTTAAGCCAGAGTTTATCTACCTGCACTGCCTGAACCCTAGCCAGGTATGGAAATTACAAGGTATATAATTTGTAACCTCATTTGAAATATAATCATTGTAAGCAGACTTTCTTGGGTAGAGAGTACATGCATAAAACACTGAGGCATGTGAATTTATCAGACCATACTTACTGTGAACTTTTCCAGTCCTGTGGCTCCTGCATTACCAACAAATATCCCAGAGCCAGATTCAAATACCAAGGCTTGAGCTGACCTTTGAAACTGAACTCTCTGATATTCTTCACAGTCCATGAACAAAGCAACTTCATTTCCCTGAACAGTCACTGTAAACCTATTCCACCTGTTAGTCATCACTGGCACTTTAAATGAAGCAGCCTCTCGGGAGGTATGGGAACCAGGCTCTGTGTAGTACATAATTATTCTCTGGGTGCTGTCATCAACTGTTGAAAGTCTCATTCCCAGGTAAATAGTTTTCTGGAAGGCATCTGTTATTGCAAATAGCATTCCTCCACGATCACTGTTTGGTTTCACTGTAACTACGATAGCGAAATCTCGATAGAAAGGCAACGGTGTTATAGCACTTGTCAATCGACCGATGTTAGCATCTGGACCAAAGCTGTAAGCTGGAAACCCTCCATAGCCGGAGACAAAGTAGACAGAAGGAGGAAGAGGAACTCCTATTAACTCCGTGAGGTCAAGATGTCCTTTTGAGCCTCGTTCTGTAAAGTGTGTGAGAAAAAACATGTTATTTATTCTTGCGGTGCACAGCCCATTTAATTTAAATGATTTAAGAAAGGCCTTAAAAACTGTAATGTAGCGTTAGAATACCAGTAACATACTTCTAATACTTTAGGCCCCAGTTCAGTTAGTGCTTAAACACATCTAGCTCAGTGCATGTGTCATTCTTTGTCCTTTGACTAACTGAGGTTAGTCATATACTAAAGAAAGGCGCATGTAAACATTTGGTGAAATCAAGTGGTAACAAGTAGTTCCTGCAAGACATATTTTACTTCAGCTGCCAATAAACTACAAAGAAAAGTGCTGAATGTGCTTGCGGAGAGGATTCAGTGAAGACCGAGCAACCTTTTGTTTTCTCAAATAAACTGAGATTCTTTATCCTCACAAACGAAGAAGACAGCAACAGTTCTCTACAGAGTTCTCTACAAACAGCATAACACAGTTTCACAAATATAGAATTAAAATTACAGTGGATTTGCTTTAGCCCTTCCAGTTACCTGCTTCTACAACAGATGTTAGACTTTATTTATGCTCTTATTCTACAGATTTATCTCCTTAATTGCACTGTGTACATAACAAAAACTATACAGCAATCAAAATTCAGTTTTGAAATGAGAGTATTTTTGTTTTGGCAAACACACAGAATTAAGTATCTCTGCCAAACATGCCCAGAGAGACAACTCCTTCCTGGCAATGAAGGAGCAATGACAACAGCTAAGTATCTACACCCAATTTTAACTAAAGCCTTGGGAAGGCATACTCTAGCAGCACACCAGAAACAGAACCAATTTTCTCCTTTTAGGATGTAAAAACAAGCAAAAAAAGATACCATTTTTAATCACAATGAGTGATTCAGATCTGAATCTATACAGAGCTCTACTCAAATTTAAAGCCTTTCCTCCCTTTGCAATCTCCTCTAACCTTACATTTTTAAGTTTCTCATTTTATCTAAAAGTCTCAGTTCTTATTGGTATACATTTTCAACCTTTTGAGAATATTTATGTTAGGCAGAAGCAAACGAAGTGCTAGGGTATGTCTTAATGTAGCTACATCATGTAAAATTATAGTCACTCATAAACTCCAGTTCATGACTAGTAACTGCTGGCTTTCTCAGCAGACGTGAAAAAAGATCTACATGATCCAAGAAAGTCAGATTTTTAAGTCACTTTCTTGATCCAATGCATCCTAACCTCTCTCTACATTATTCTTTGCTGAAAATCTTCAGATGCTGGGTAAAAAGAGAGGATGTATTTGGAACCACTGTTCTGCAGTTCCTTTCTTTATCTACACCAGTCTACCATGGTTCTCAGATTAACTCCATCAAATAAAAAAATAGCGTGGAAAACAGAGGTCTTGTGGTGAAAAAGCACAGATGTGGCAAAAAGTCTTGAAACCTCACTAAGAACAGATTGGATTTGTGTTTCATACTTCACTTTTTCCCCTTCTACCACAGCAGGTGTAAATAATGTGGTGGTGAGGTACTTCTGTGTACCTACACAGCCTGTCATCCACTAGGGCTCCCACTGCTAGTATTCCCAAGGCCCTTCCTTGTTATGACATCTCTGCCTCAGGAAAGTTCCTTAAGACAGCATTAAGCAAAGTTAGCTTGCTCGATGGTCACTTAAATTTCAACACAACATGGGGGACAACTGATGCCACCTATGGCAGTCTAACACTACAGACATTTACAGGGGACAGGAGCTAAAACCAGCCCATCTTCTTAGAAGTACGTTAGGGACAACAGGTACGAGTCAGTCTCCAGATCTGTTTTTTGAACAAGTAGTTACAGAAGCCGAAAGCAAGCTCCCAGTCTGCCTAAAGGTAAGCAGTGATGAGACACATGGAGCTGGCTCCTAGCTCAGCCTACCTGTCAAGGACCAAGTCATCCCCAGATTCTGATGCATTTCACCCTGAGATGACTTGCATTTTACCAGCAGCCCGTACACTCCTGTCATGGGATGAACTGAAGTTTCCTGGTTGCATATAAAACTACGGGATGTACACATGTAATTACAAACAACTTTTGCTTCAGAACTTGTAACACCTGGTTTCCTAGGATGTCCCCCCTGCATCATTATTTTCATTTTAGCTCAGTACATCCTGCCAACCTGGAATACCTCAAGTTCTTTCTCATGTGCATAGGACCTCTGCCTCTAATACCTGTAGCACTCCTACATCCCTCCTCTGCCCTAGTATGTGTTAAAGGATGATTCTAAGCTGCATATGTTTGTATTAGCTGGCCAGTTCATGCATGATAATTGGCCATCAGGAAGGAGAAATTTGATAATTAACCTCACAGCTCTCACCACAGTTTTTTCTCATTAAGATGCTACTTGTGCCACTCATCATGAGGTTGGGGGTTTCAAGAATATAACAGGATGGGTGCCCATTACCTTCTTACATGGAGAGTCCTCTGTTACAGGGAAGATAATGGGCTGAAATTAAACTGAGAAAAGGAGTAAATGATCTTAATATGAGCAAAATTGTACTGACAATGTCTACAGTCTAATCCCTCAAAGGAGACAGTGGCCTTCCCTCGGGCTGGTGATTTGAAACCAAACTGTACAAAACAATTAAAAATTACTGTAGAGAATAATTTCAAAATTATTCATTATAACATGACTTTTAATCTTTGTTCCATGATTTGTAACCATTCCCAAGTCCTTCATAATGTATATATTTGTGTAGTGTGGACTGATGGATGAAGTATCTTTCAATTTTTAAACTTACTCAGTTACTGCAACTGTAATAGCTATATAGGCTGAATAAATCCAAATGGAGTAGTAATAGAGAAGGTATGACAGTCCATCTGAATACTGCAAACAAAGTGAACTGGAAAACTTTGCTTAAAATACCTGATTAAAATCAGGCAAAATGAATGAATCTTGCACTTTGCTCTGAAGCCTGGCAACCTGATTCTGAAGAAGAGCTAGAGAGAGGTTCTTCAGCTGAAATATACTTCTGTTATTCATTATTCATATGCAGAACCATCCTGGGCTATGTGTTGTAAAGTGGTTTCCATTGTTCTAGTGGCTTTGCAAAGAAATGGTAAAATGTTCTCCTTGTACCAAAGATGTTGTAGTACAGTTGAAATCAATTCTGATCTATCATCTTCTCTGTACTTTAGCTTCAGCACTTACTTGCTAAGGGAACTCATTAACTGGAAAAAGTCTGATGTGCTCCATACAGAAACCATTTTCCTTACACATTTTTAGAAAGTATAGGAGCTATGTTTAGAAACAGAAAAACTAGCTCCTTCTCCAGAAACTATTTCCCTTACAGACTTTTAAATGCTTTGCCTGATAGATTTTGCCCTTTCCTAATAGTTTGAAAGGTGAACACATTTTTTTTCTGGCCAAGCTAATGATTTTTTGATTGTGAATCTAATATTGAGTCACATTTTATACTCACACATACATACACATAACGGAACTTCAACTGCAAATAAAATGCATAAGCCATTACTCAAGAGTAAACAGGTAAGGAAAATAGTAAGCTTGAAGGAGAATAAAGGATCTGTATGCAGATACTAAACCTACTTCCAACGAGCCCTGGGAAAAGTAACTAAGAAAGCAGATGGAGAATATTTAAGGTGGCCAGCAATCAGCTTATCAGACTTGGACAGCAGGATGCATCACAGAAGTGAACCTAATGAGTAGAACTGTAGTTTCTCACTTCCCATTCTCAAAGGAAGATTTGGCAAATGCAAAAAAGCCTGTTAATTCTCCCCGCAGAGCATGTGGAACTGCAGTCTAGCTGCAGTTTCCTAGTCACATACCAAACAGTAACATGTAGAGCCCAAAACGCTTGCTCTTTTAGCATAGGCTTTGAGACAAATGCAACAGATTTGCAAAAGGTGGCAGCAAAAGACAGTAAAGAAGAATCAGGATTTTCATTTGAGTACAAGTCAGAAGGCTCAGCAAATATCTGAACATCAGTGAGACCGGGGTAGAAGCCTGCACCTATCCACTACAGAAAAGCAAAACAAGAAGGTTCTAGCAAAATTCTGTACTTACAGCTCATCCTCAACTCTTAATAGATTTATGAGGACCTACAGTTAGAGTTAAGAGCAGAATACGGACTTACAGCCACAGGTTTTGTTCCCATTCAATTATCTCTGATAAATTCATGTTCCCCTAGTGCAGTTATGTTAGAATAAAAATGCTTTCTTATTCCCTTACATCAATAGGTAAATGCTATGCTGTTTTAAGCACCTTTAAGCCAGCAGAGAACTATGTTGCACCAGTATAATTTTGTTTCAAACATGTATTGCTACTACGCCACTGGATATTAGGCAGCATCCAGAATTCATCCCATTTATGTCCATGTTTCCTAGACCTGGGGCACTGGAAGATGTGGTACAGAAGCAGCTTTAATATTAGCTATATTTTATCTCAAAAAAAGAAGTAGTAGAATACCATAAATTGGTATGGTATTTTTAGATTTCTACAGTTATGAGCTGTGCTATACTTTGCATTTGTTACCATTTGTTACTGTATGTTATAGTTGGAATTGCTATAGAATTTGCAGATAGCTGGAGATTCCCACTGAGTAGTGTCAGGGACCCGTTGAGAAATATCAGTGTGTTGTAAAAATCATCCAGTAAGTCAATATATGGATTGTTTCAAGACTGCAGATGACAATAGTAGAGTTTTTTTCTTCTTTTAATTCTATTTTTTTGCATGTAATTACCTCACTACTTGACTGCTGAAAATAGTGTAACCGTAAGAACAACAAACCACTATTTTGGCATTGGAAGATACCTGGTTTCCCTATTGTGTCTTTAGCACAGAAATCAATAACAGTGGAAGACCATGAAGCTCAAAATGGACTGGAAAAAAAGGGAAAGCTCTTTAGAAACAGGTGGGAGGAGAAAGGTTTATCATTAGACAGAAAAGGAGACCAGAAAGAAACATGATGTTGACAGTAGAAGGGCAGGAGTTGGAGAAGTTCCCAATAATGGAGTTACCAGTATAGAAATGACATTCATGGGAGCCATTTTGAAACTGCAGCTATGAAGTGACAGATATTGTGTCTTAAGCCTTGGTGCTCATCTGACCCCAAATGGTGCTACTTTTCTCCAGATCACTGTCAGGTATGTGTAGTGCAAGAGAACCATACCTCATCTTCAACCCACATGAGCTAGGCAGGGTGGAATTGCAAATCTGTGGGATCCAAAATACTTTTCCACTGCTCACAAGGGGTGAAGTACAGAGGAAAGAAAAAAACTACCTGCTTGGAGGTCTATTACATTTGCTTTAATTGTTAAAGCACAAACACAGTATTTATATTTTATAAATGGGAATGGAGGCAGAGAAAGACCCAGATTCATATCATTTATGTTATTATACCCATCTGTAACTTTTAGGTTAGGAGCCTTCTTTCAGATGCATTAGTTGTCTTTACAGAAAGAGTGCAGAGAGTAATTAGTGACACCAAAAGGCAATTTACTCCAACCTAACAGCTTCTGGAGACATGTCACTCATAATCTAGACGCACAGACTTGTCTCTTACCCTTAAAAGAAATGGACCTGAGTTCACGTACGTGGATGCAGATGAAGGACAGGCTGTATCTGTACTATATAATTGAGAGCAGTAGCAAAGATCCCTGAATCATTGGAAGAACACAGACACAGAAAAAATGCCTGGTCAGTTTAGGTGGGGCACAGAGCCTGGCTGGATCTATAGTTTCCAGAGCCCAGCGGACTGGTCTCTGGACTGCATACACGCATTACATCATACCAGCTGCTTTCTCGTCATGCTTTCCCATGTGGAGCAGGGTAGTCCCAACGCTGGGCCTGATCCAAAACCATTGGATGATCAAGCCTCATCAGACCAATGTCAGCCCACTGAAATTAGTGGAAAGACTCCCTGTGAACATAGCAGGCTTTGCATCAGACTAACAGTGTCTTTATCACTGGATCTATGTACTTGTTTAGCCATTTTTAATAACTGCAGGTGAAATGACATAAGCCTTGTTATAAGTGTATGCAACTCCATTACTGAGACTGAATTTCCCCGCTTTTTTTTTTTTTTAAATGCTACCAGGAACTTAAAGTTTTATATTAAAAGCTTTTTTAGAAATACGACTAGAATCTGGACCTTTCTTACAAATAGTAATTATAAACCTGAGATCTTCTGACACCTGGAGTAGAGTATTTGTATTCCCAGTTGTCTAACAGAGCTCACATAAAACATGGAATACCCACAGCCCCTGTTTCTAGCACCGCACTTCGACACAACCTAACTTCTAAGTTACTTTGTAACTAGTACACAGGCTTTAGGAAACCTGCTACAACAGAGTAGGCTACAGGATTACTGATAAGGATACTGTTTGTCAGTGTACTTTTATCCTTGGTGTCACCACGAGAAAATATATCAGAAGCAGAGTTCAAAGGCAAGGCTGTCATCCCTGACATAGACAGAATTACCCATCTTAGCCCCATTTTAAAACATACAGTTCCAAAGGCCCAAGTCTGAAAAAAAAGAAGAGAAATATTGACATCAAGTCCTTTGAGCAAAAGAAAATAATTAGCACTGTATGGTGAGACCAAACTGTGCTGCACTACTGCAAAATAAACACACTGTTGTTCTCCTCCATGCTGTAAGAAGATCCTTCAGCTGAACTATCTCAACTACATGAATGCCAAGACTGAAGTTGCACATAAAGGACTGCCATATTTGACACCAAGCACTTAATTTTTAGCAGTAATATTTGTTCTGCTGATATTTTAAGGATTGTCACATTTATTTCATCTATCATGTTTTTAGATAGAAATGCCTTTTAACACAATTATTCAGGTACATCAGCTGCCACATTTAGCCAAATTCTGCTCCAGGTTAATGTACCTTAACAGGTACATAAAAGAGTCAGAATAACATGTTCAAACACATACTATTTGCTAAATATAAGAAGCCAACCACCCTGTAGCTAAAACCATGGCAGCTGTTTTTAACTCAGTCAAGGGAGGGCTTGGATGGCTCCAGAGGTCTGGGGATGGGAGTGGGCTGGGTGCTGGCTTTTGAATGAAATTATTACTTTCCCTTTCTTTTTAATTTATAACTTAAGTTCACCTAGTTCCTCTTCAGACACCTGTTCCTCTTCAGACACTCTTTTATCAGAGTTGCTGTCCATAATCCTGTCCCATGCTTGTAAAAGCTCATTTGCTCCATGATGGTTGGATTTGCATCCTGTGAAAGAGCACCTCATGTCACTGCTGTTCGTTGCTGCACAAGCCTTGCTGGCTGCTCCTTTACATGTTCTTTTAAGGCAACAGGATAAAAGCAATGTTCTACGAAGGCTATCAAAACCAGACCAGGCTCAGAGCAGCCAACATCAGACACTTCTGTGTCTGTAAACTTGAGCCAAGCTGATCTTGCTTCTCTGTCCTCTTCCAGTCCAAATAATCATAAACCTAGGTTGTAAGCTCCCTTTCCAGCAGAGTAAACCATCTCTGTCTCAATGGCACAGTGCACAGCCCATGTTGCCTCTACTCTTCATTCAAAGAAATGCTGTAACTGTAATAGAACATTATTTTATACTGGAGGCAGTTGTGAGGTGCAGTAAGAAAATTTCTTCTTCCCTGCTACCAAAGTGTATTTATTTTGCAGTTAACAAATATTTATAGCAATAACATAAAGCAGAGAAGGATTTCCACATCTACAAAATAAAAGTTAATCAAGTACTGTAAAGGTAAAAATAAGAAAAATGTTTTAACACAGTCCCAGCTGTGCTACATGAAATAGAAGAGGCTAGCATCATTGCTGCTCTCAGGAAAAACAGCATTTGTTCTGCTTACCCAGCTTGAACACATTTCTAGCTGCCATTGATACTCTTTTGGAAAATATTGGGAGAATATTAAAGGTATTAAAGGCTGAAGCATTTTCTTCCAGATGCCTAAGGAAACCTCAGAAGCTCTTTTTAGTGGTGTTGCACACCCAAAAGTAAGGCTGCAGTCAATAGGAGCTGTGGTACTTACTGACATGCAAAATCAGGCCCGACATTCTTTTGTGCAAACCGTTTTCCAACACTTTCTGCCCGCTCCTGCTTTGACGTCATTATCATTCTGCCCTCTACTGGATAAAAATGTATGTAGTTCACACACCTAAATACACTTAATTAAATATACATCTGTATTGCACAAAATAATCTTCCTTTTTTCCCGTCTTATCTTGTTTGAGAAACTTTATTTCATTACAATGCTTTCAAGCTAATCAACAAAAAAAAATTGTCTTCCATACAACTAATTTTTTCAACTTTTCTGATCTAATACTGGACTATTTTCTTATTGTTTTGTTGGCTGCTTGTCTAGAAGATCTTCCATATACATTTTTGTGCATATGCATTTTTGTATATAAAACCAAGGCCTTTTAATGTGCACTTTTACTCAATGAACTGTTCTCTTTTAATGACAAAAATCTGTGTTTAAAATACATCCGTTCCTTTGAGGCACAGTGTATAGAATATCAAATATAGTATAAATGTTAAATAGTTACTGTCCTTTCCTCAGAAACAAATGAGAGACAAAGGTGGGAAATATTTAGCTACAGCAGCGTGGCAAAGCTAACTAACTGAGCTGTTAACCAGAAGGTCAATAGACTGAAAACAATCCATTGCCTGCTGCATGATCTAGGGCAACCTTATGGCCCAAGCTGTGTTTAAGGTCGAACAATCACAGTGACCCATCTCATTTTATAATAATGAACAACTGCGTGTGCATATGTGTAGGCATATACGTGACTGTAAAGAAAAAGAAAGAACTATGGACCTGGTACATCCCCAAAGGATTAGCACAAGAAAAGGGAATCATCTTTGAAGGGATACCTTTCACAGGTAACTCAATGGCTCAAAAGGCTTCCTAAGCAGAGTATGAACCAGGCATGGAAGGAGAATAGCAAGTACAGTATCAGGGAGTTGCAAGGTCAGAAGGAGAAACAGAACATTGGATTTGAACATGATTTCCATGTGC